TATTATATTATATATATTATTATATATTATACAGTTATATACAAGGTGCGTTCCAAAGTAAACTCTAGTGGCGCCATCTATATGTCAACAAGTGCGTTAGAATCTGCTATCCTTTATCGACTTCCAGTAAAAATTTCATGACATTTCATCTATTGGAAGTGAAGTTAACGCGTTTTAAGTGTCAGTATGTTTTTTCCATCGGTGCGAAAATGAGCTTTGAACAAAGAGCCAACATTAAATATTGTTTTAAAATTGGTAAAACTTTTACCGAAACGTTTCAATTGATGAAACAAGTTTATGGCGATGATTGCCTATCCCGTAGCAGAGCGCATGAGTGGTTTCCACGTTTTCAAAGTGGTCGTAAGGACATACACGAGAAATGAGCCGAAACCCAAAAAATCGCGCCTGGAGAAGTCAATGCTGATTTGTTTTTATGATTCGAAGGGTATTGTCCACAAAGAATTTGTTCCACCCGGCCAAAACGTTAATGTGGTATTCTACCTTGGAGTTGTGAAGCGTTTGGTGCGCCGTATTTGACGTGTTCGGCCCGAATATCGCGAAGATGGAAGTTGGCGTTTGTTGCACGATAATGCGCCGTCTCATCGATCGACGCTTGTGGCCGATTATTTGACCAAAAATCACATTTTAACAATCAACCACTCCCGGTATTCACCTGATATGGCATGACTTCTACCTTTTCGGAAAAATGCATTTGCCGATGAAAGGAAAGCGTTATGCAGACGTGGAGGCCATTCAAAAGGCTTGCACCGGCATACTGGCGACAATACCGGGCTAAAACACTCATTCGACATGCTTTTGGATGTGCAAAAAGCTGTATTAAAGCAGAAGGACACTATTTTGAATAAAATTAATTGATTTTGCTGATAAAACCATTTCTTCTGTCCTTTTTTTAAAAGTCATGTTTACTTTGGAACGCACCTTGTAGTATAATATACAAACAAATCAAAATTCAATCAAAATCGTTAGCAACAACTGCCGCAAATATCTGTATTCCATATACCTACTGCCAATTCTACTGTGATTGTAAGACTCAACTAGAGTTTTGATGTTAAAGCGGCGGGTGCTACTGTTGTTCCTGCTACTAATACTTATGATACGAAATTCGTATTCATAGCTAGAGTTTTTAAATTTATGTGCAAAATTCTTAAACCCTAATTTAAGAAATAAAAACCGTATTTAGAACTAAGTAAAGAAAATATACAAGTTATTTAGTTTGTATATTAATATTTCTCGAGAGAGTTCAATTATGAATTAACAAGTAAAGAAGGGCTAAGTTCAGGTTAACCGAACATTTATAATCTTGTAACAAAAATAAAAGCCGTGGAAATACCTTCAGGTGTTGGCAAAACTTTATTTTAAAAAATGTTGCGAAAGAATTCAACATTTATTGATCAACTTATACTTAACCCACTCAATTTTATTACTATA